TAATTTCTAGTTTTATTTTTTGTATTAATTGTAATGTATTAAATATTTTGATCTCAAATACAACTTGCAACGTGTTTTTACAACTGTTAATGTGTTGTAGCGCAGAGAATGAATGGCAGTGAAACATTTTTCACATGGCTTCAAATTTGCCCTGTACATCAGTTTCAATACGGTCAACATAATGTTTTATTGTATGCTATTCTAGTGCCACATCTGGACTGAGAAAATATGTCACACGTCTTGGGATACATTAGCACTCGCAATGTTTTTTTTCGGACTCAAAATGGTCAAACGAATCCAGTTCATGCATCACACATATTTAGATACATTTCGCATACATTAACACAGCCAATTGTCAAATACAGTATACCAAACACTGTTGTCTTTCTAAATTAAGATGTCGGTTATGCATGAACATATTTTGTTCCAATTACGTAACTTCGATCGTAAACAAAATGACCGACTGGTGGACATGTTCTTTTAATGAATGTTGTTCTTCGCCACATATCTGACAATGACATGCATTGACTGACTATGTTCACACTTCACTCATATACAACACGTCATGTGGCATATGCACACGTTTCAATCAAGATGGTCGACGAGGGACTATTTAATGCTACAAATTAAAGACGATCCTGCATTCTTGAAAACGATGTACATTCATTAACATTTTCTGTGGAAAAACACAATTTTCTATCGCGCTACGCGATGCTACGCCGTATACTTAGATAGAGGGCGCAATTTCAGATACAGTGTCGGAATATGTGTGTAATATATCATGTTTTATTTGTCATTTTACTTAGCATTCCTTTATACTGAAATAATAGGAAAATGTTCTATGGTTATAAATTGTGTTTATGTGTTAGCTCATTAGAATGTAATAACACATTTACTATAATATGTCAACGATTTAAGGATGTATTTAAGGTATTTGCTACTATCTGACACACAAAACTCGTTTTTGGCTAGCTCGATTCAACTGCCACAATTAAAGCCAAAATTAGTTTGTGTTTTTTTGTTTTTGTTTTCTGCAATAACAATGTTCCCAATATAAGATAAATTAAACTCTCTAATGTCCATCAAGAGAAGATGAACGTGAGTGAACATTTTACAGAACAGTGGAGATAAACATGTGTATACTTCAGAGAAACACGGTTATATATTTCATCTTAGATGTGAAACCTACTTACTTGTCATTTTCTAATCGAACTGTGATGGTCAAAACTGTAACAGATTACAGTTTTACTTGCGGCTTAATATTGGTTCTACATCGATCATAGGTAGTTTTGTTCAACATTTGCATTTCAGTAGTATTATCGCCCAAATACAAAAGCTTGTATAGCTACACACACGCGTTTATAGTTTACAATGTGTCCAGGGCTTTTTATGACAAATGTTATACCTCTTCCGGCAAACGCTTATTCTAAAATGATACAAAAATATTTTGTCAATACAATCGAAAAGCATTAGTCTTGAAATAATAACATTTATATTTTGCATATAGTTTCAACGCTAATGTTTTATATCAGTACATATCCATAACATTGAGTACCGGCTAATTATCACAGTCATGATTATTTCCGAGTCGAGTAAAAGTGTAAATTTGGTAGCAGGGCAGAGTCGACAAAAACAAAGCTGCTGACAAAAACAATGATCGCTACAAAAACGGCTAGTGACCTAAACGTATTACGGAAACCGAAGAGGGCTTCGGATTTTCATTATTGTCACTTTATCCATGTTGTAATTGATGTATTGAAATAATTAAAAGTTTACTTTTTGTTGAAAATAAATGGTGATTTACATTCTTAATATTTATTCAGATTTTAAATCCACTTTTTTTGATCTGATCAAATATGGCAGACTGGTGATCATTTTAATAATACAGCTTTAAATGTAAACATATACATTTGTTCGCAACTGGTTCTTGAAGAAGATGATTGGACCGATTCGACTTCGTGTGATGTCATTATAAGACTGTTTTAGTTTTCCACAGCCACATTTTGCCACAATTTTCCTACTTGCCTGGAAAGATGGGTATTTTTCACTATTTTAGCAAAAGTCTGTCCTCACTGTTATGCTACGTCAGACGATCTACTTCAAGGTATGTTAGGTGCCAAAAATGCACACGGACCCTCAGCACATCACTCTGGATGGTCGTGTCAAAAACACTGGGCTAAAAGATTATTATACATGTATTTGTATTTAAATGTATGTGGAAAATTATAGACCTAGAATTAATGAGCATTTGAGAACAGATTATGACTTCAGTTACAGGACAGTGTCGCCTATATTTTGATGTTTAATTTCCACATGTTCAAGATATCTTCTTTGTCTTTCGGTATCCATTATAATTTTGAATCAACATAAATGTTAGCAATGTACATTACAATTAAAGAACTGAAGATATCTTTGCAAAATGAACAACTTTTTGTTTAACATTGGTTCGGGCAACAATGATTAACATTGGTGAACAGCTATGCAAACTAATTTTACACTGCTTTCTTTGCATGTTATCCTCTATGTGTGCCAGTTTACATGACAGGAAAATTTCCCTATCCCAGGTATTATAACCTATAACAATATGATTTGAGGAGTCCAAATTTATCGAAATATCCAGTCCATGACTATCAATTTAACAATTTGTCGGACATGTCTTCCAAATGTCTTCCAAATCCAAGAACTGATACAATTGCAAAACTAATGACATATAGCCAATTTTATTTTATAGTAGATGTACATACCATATACTCAGCTGATTTTTTTTTATTTTTGGACAAATATATCAGGGTAACATGACTTCTCCCAAGATGCAATTTAATTATCAACTCGTTTTGATGTAGCAGTTTGATGACAAGGTAAATAGAAAAACCACGATAGACTCATGTTGCATATATCATTTTATAATTTTTTCGAGTAGACAATTTTCAGATTGCACCACGTTTTGCCTAATTTAGTGATTATTGACATCAACGAAAACTTAATGAGATTGACCAATTTGTGCAAATTAGGTAACTAATATGCCTAATGACACATGATTCTGTGCCGTCTGCGTATTTACGTAGCGATTCACCAGGCCATTCTTGAGTACATTCAGAAGGGAGCACCAAAAAACTCATTCAAAGACAGCGCCCGTACGGTGTAAATAGGTTAATGTACGCGTTTTTTACTTGAGCACACATGTTTTTTTTCAGAGACTATCAGACACACAATTTATAAAACACGAACACCATATAATAAAATACACATTATTTTTTAAAACACACACCATTCTTAAACACGTATAATATTTTAAACACACACACCATTTTTGAATACATTCTATTTAAAATGAAATCGTCGTTTCAAACTATTATAAAAAGCATAGTCACGTCGTTTTTAAATACACGCATCATCTTAAAACACATACCATTCGAAACAATACACATGTAGTTTTGAAACATATGTAATAATAACAGAACGCTATGGCGAGAATTTTTTGTTGATTTATTCATTCATTCTTTCATTCATATTTGCTTTTTTGAAATTTTGTTGCAATCTTTTCTCGATTAATATAAGAAGCAACACCTCCTGCTACAGCTACAGTTGCAACAGCTTTTCCAGCCATGATAGCTTTTCCAGTCACAGCAGCTGTTCCAGCAACGGCACTTTTTCCAGCCAGGGCACCTTTTCCAACCAGGGCACTTTTTCCAACCAGAGCACCTTTTCCAGCAACGGCACCTTTTCCAGCCAGAGCACCTTTTCCAGCCAGAGCACCCTTCCCAGCCAGGGCACCTTTCCCAGCCAGAGCACCTTTTCCAGCAGCAGTTCCCACCTTGATCCAGGAAAGTATTTTAGGCGCTGCTAAATAGCAACCAGTAGCAATGCAAGCGACCCCAACAACAGCAACAGCAGAACCAATGACAATGGTTGTGGTGCTCCAACCCTGCAAAACATTAATTGTATTTACATTTTAATAGTTAAATGGTTTAATAGTTCAGATGAACGAGAACAGTGTCTCTTTAAAGTACTTGCATATACTACCACAGTCAATTTACTGGTGCGATTTCACCAACACCAGCCCGACCAGACCCGCGGTATTCCTCAACAGAAAGTTTACACTGTCGTATAAATTCATAAAATCGTACTTCATCATGGAATAGAGGTTTTCAGGAAGGTAAATTAGATGTTTATTGTTCTCATTTTAACCAGAATATGCGTTTCTGCAATCAAATTGTGAAATCTTTTGAATGCGTAAATTTAACAAAAATAACTGACCTCGTATTGTTC